TCCATGTGACAGCAACAGAGCCCAAGTGGGAGATGCTGCTGGTGGCTTAGCCTGGGATGTTGCCGCGGAGTGTGAGAATGGGGTCAGATTCTGGATATATTCTGAAGGTAGAACCAGAAGTGTGAGGCCAAGAGAGGCGATGAGGCTGACTCTTAAGAATTTGGTCCTTTCTGCATTCCACCAAACCTTCTCAAGGCTTCAAAGACTTTGATATTCCCAGGAGTTTAGCAAGCAATTCTAAATAATAATTGTGGGAATAATATAATTTTCAACTTCCTTGGATTTATTTGCGATACTATAATGTTATGTATTTTATTTTCTTGATTTATATACATGGGTGCATATGGCTGAATAAAACTTTCATTTTATCTGGTTCTACTTGCAACATTATTTCTCTTACCTAAGGAATGCTAAACCAGTTGTGTGATTTCAGGAGGAATGATACTAATGGTTTGGGCCAGGATAATAGAACGAACAGTGGGAATGGGAGTGGGTGCGAGGTGGTGGGAACAATGAGAAGGGGTTAGATTCTGGACATACTCTGAAGGTAGAACTGAATGTATTTTGTTAGATCAGATGGGAAGTATGAGAGAGAGTAGAAATGAAAAAAGTCAATTGTCCTCTAGTGTTAATGGTAAATGGATTGTCAATAGCAAGACTGAAATAGATGAGGTGATATCATTCAGTTGTGTGTGATCTCATTCAACAATGACTATCTAGTGTCCTCTTGGTGCCCCAAGTGCTAGAGACACATGAATGAGCAAGGTGGGCAGAAATCCAGTTCTACAGGAGCTTAACCTTCTAGCCAGCAGGAACAGATAAATATATAATATGTCAAATGACTCAGTGCTGGCCAGGGTGGAGGTGGGGGGGGTCAAAGGAGGAATATGAAGATTACCAGGGGAACTCATAAGTACTTATTTCTTAGAACTTGTTAAATGAACTTTAAGATATTTTCCTACATCAATTTCTTTTTTTAACAGCTTCATACTGGGAAATGCATTCATTTTTATCAATTTGACTACCAAGAAAATAGGATATGGATTATGTAGTGTTTCTAGACTTTTCAGGGTACTAGAATAGAAGAATTAAGAGCAGTGCCCTTGGTGAGGAGAGTGCCTCTTGAGCACTTAGTGTTCTCCATGGGGATAATGGAAGATTTTAGTCATGGGTAGTAAACTGTACTTGGTTAGCATATAGTTATTTCAGTCAACTGTGTGTAGACATTTACTTAGCATCACCTCTATTTAACCTACTCAGGTCGTCCTCATTAGGGCTTTCCACTTCGAACACCATTATAGCAATCATATACTGTATTTTTAGCATCTTATATAAACTTCCCCACAAATGCCCAAGTTATATAACTCCCCCCTCCCCAGGCTTTCCTCCAGCCTCTCACAGATGTATAGTGGGGCAGGGAGCTGTGTGTGGTAGGGGATCCCTGTCTGGAGACTGAAAAGTTCTTATCCCAGAGATTGCTTCCCCTTCTGTGGACTGGGCTGGGTGTGTACAGCCAAGCCAGCGTGCTCCCCCCTCCTTCACACCCCCCTGTACTAGTCTCAACCTTCACCTTCTGCTGTTACATTTTCATCAGGTGTCACATTGCTGTGTTCCTGTGTCTGGGAGACACTCTGCCTCCTCTCTTTGTGTTCAAACAAACCCCAAGGGCTTGGCTCCTGAGGCAGAAGTCACCTGAGAGTTCCAGTTCCCTCATTACACAGATGGCAAGTGAGGCTCAGAAGCCAGATGACTTCCTCTCAGGTATAGAGACACAAATCCAGTCAACACCGTCTCTGCATTTCCTCGTCAGTAACTTCTATTAAAACCAGCAGATGCTCAGATCTCAGCATTCTCATATTTATAAGGATTATGACAAGGTGGTCTCTAAAGTCCCTTCTCTCTGCATTATGTATAGCTGTGTTATTGGGTAGATACTGATTATATAAAATATTTCTTTGTTTTCAGTGTATAGACTAGAATGTTCCCAGCTGAAATGAATCAGTAAGAGGATATACTTTTGCTTGGCTCTTTAAAGCTTAAAATCACTCTCTCATTTTTTAATGGTAAGTAAGAATGTGAAGAAACAAATGGCAAATTTACCCAGTGGCTAAAAGGAGGCTCAAATACACGTCTTCACTTTGTGTACAAGAAAAGCACTGTTGCGTTATTCTTAGTTTACTTAACTATATCAGGGAAAGTCTCCTGGTGTGTGTATGTGTGGGGTGGGGGTGGGGGTGGAGGGCAGGGATATGCAGGGAATGATGGTGATAAGCATTTTCCAAATTAGGAAACAGATATGCTTTTCTTCTTACTGGCTTACATAACTGATCTATTTTAGAAGGCACTGAAAAACTGAAATGAAATACAAATCTCATGATTTTACTACTTGTTAGCAAAGACACAAGCAAGTAATGCTGGAAGGAAGAGGGGAGCAGCGTCACCCCATCATACTACTCTTGGGGAGGGTTGGGGGGAGGAGGGAGGGAAGGAAGGGGGTGGGGTTGGGGGAGAGGAGCTGTTTTGCAGGATTCCCTCTACTCCATCCGGGTCTGCTGGGTGAGTCAGAGACCAAAGTCCAAATTTTAGAAAATGAATGAAGATACAAACTTTTCTCTCCTCTGACTTTAAAAAGCAGTTGCCTCAAAGTGCAAATCCTCTTTTGGTGGCACAGAATGAGGAAAGAGTGACCTGTCTTAGAGCCGGTGATTGTTTTGCCCCAGACTTCCTGATTCAGAGGGAAACTGTGCAGCACACAAAGGCCACAGAGGCAGTACAGCCTCTTACATAAATAAGTTACATAAATGAGAACCAGTTATGTAAATGTATAAAGCAGCAAACATGAATTATAACCATTCACAAATGCCAAGGAGAACACGGCAAGATTCCTCCTACAGTCCCATTTTCCCCCCTCACATTATCATAATTGTACCATTTTATTTCACACCAGAATCCCATGTGGTTGTCACATTTGTTAGGGGAAAAAAAAAAACCTCTGAAGGAGAAATGATACTTCACATTACTTTCTGAACCATACATTTTACTTTTGGGATTAATTCCTTAATAAAACCTGAATTAAACTATTTGATAATAAATACCTGCATGTTTATTAATTATAATTCTTGTGAACACAATAATTCTTGTGTATTTTACTCTTGTACCTTTAAAAGTTGATGTGGACAAGAATGTATCCCAAAAGTTAATGTCCATGTACAGAGGGTATGGGGCGAGGGTGGGGGTGAGGAGGGAGGGTTTCAAGTCTCAGATGAGTTTATGGGCATCTAATTTAAGTCATCCTACTTTGTCAGGGAAGTTAGTAATTTAAAGGGTTAGGATTAGATTCAAGTTTATGCTGGTAAATTAATATCAACAGTCCCCACCCCAAATGATTAGGAATTGCTCCTTGGGGCTTTGCTGCAATTTGCTTCAGGTCTAATATGAATGAAAAATAAATTTGTTTGCCTCTGCATCCTACTGGAACAGGGGTCTCAGTTTTTCCTGTTACCTTTTTCCTCACTCCCTTTGGGGCAATATATCTATAATTTTTTTGAAGTTACACAATCTGTTCAATGTGTAGTAGAAACACTAACTAAAAAGCAGTTTTTGAGCCTAGCTGCCTGTTCTGCATTACAAGGGATATTCATTAAAAGCCAATTTCAGACTTGACGTGCTCACGTTAATATTCTGTTAAGCTACTGCCTTTATTTTGGAAATCCCATATAAAATACTTCATAATAATGGAATGAAAGTTAGGTGATCTTAAAATCTCTGTACAATGTTAGCTGTGTAGTGTGAGGCAAGTACCTTGCCCTCTCTGGACCATTATTTCTAACCTTTGTAAAAGGTCTAAAAATTCTAAGCTACATCCAGCGTTAACAATCCAGGACCCTGTAATTAAATATATATTTTCAACAGAGAACCTTAAATCCACTGCCTTTAGTTTTAAAGGAAATGTAACCAATTATACCAAAAAAAAATCATTTTTCTTCTTCTCTTGGCAAAATTGCAGACCCTATTTGGGTTATAGTGATAATGGTAACAAGTGAAAAGCATTCATCCTGCTGTTTTCTCTTTTACAATGCCAAATTTAGGCCTTAGCCAACTGTGGGAAGTGATTGAGCTGTGGAGAATACAGCTGATACCTCAGATACCTGTGGGCCTCCTCCCTGGGATTAAGAGAAGTGAGTTGAGGGCCAGGGGAGTTTTAATCTGGACGGGCAGCAGCAACTTGGCACCAGGGAAAACTGTCTTGCCTCCTGTGGTGATCCACCTCAGGAACGTGGGTGGGCTTTTTGTTTCTAAAGTTGACCGACTCTGCACTTGAGGCACCAAGTCATCAGACTGACGTGGGGTGTCCTAGGCCTTCTGTCATCCGCTCCTCTGTAACTTGGGTCGTCACCTCACGAAAATGAAGTTGCACCTGACAACCTACAGACTACACGGAAGGCTCCTGCGGGGACGAGGGGCGGGTTCCCATTCAGGTGGCCCGTAGGTCGCGGGCGAGTTGGTGATTGGGACCTTAGATCCGCAAGGCCGGGCGCCCGGCAGACAAGCGCCCACGAGGCGGCTTTCACCGATAGGCCGAAAAGGTGGGGTGCCCCCGGCCGCAAGGCGAGGGGGATGGAGGTCCCAGTTCCTTCGGCTTTGTTCACCCACAAGCCGGGCCCATCTTTCGCGAGGAGCCAATCGGATCCCCGCTGGGGGATCATCTGACCGCGCGTCCCCGGCCAGGAGGGGCTTCGGCAGGGGCGGGGCCGGGCGCTCGGCGGCTCCGGGGCCGTGGCGCGGGCGGCGCGAGGGAGTCCCGGGCTCCTCCAGCAGCGCTCGGCCCCGCCCCGCGCCCGCCAGGCCCCGCCCCGGGGCTTCCCGGGCGCGCGCCGCCCCGCCGAGTCCGCGCGCCACGCCCCCTGCTCGCGGGCCGCGTGCGGAGCCGCGCGCCCCGGAGGCTCCGGGACCGTGGCGGCGGGCGGCGGCGGCGGCGGAGGAGCAGCCCTCCGCGGGCCATGTCTTCTCCGGCCGTGGCGAGGAGCTCCCCGGGCGGCAGCCAGGAGATGGCCCCCAGGCCGCGGGGCCAGGGCCGGTTCTGGGAAGTGGGCGGCGGCAGCGGCGAGCGGCTGGAGCGCGCGGCCGCGGAGTCGGAGCGCTGGGAGCTGCTGCTCCGCCGCGGCGAGCTGCTGGCGCTGGGCGGCCACCTGAAGGGAGCGCTGGAGGCGTACGCGGCCGCGCTGCGCCGCGGGGCCCCGGTCGGGCCCGAGTGCCTGGGCACCCTGGTGGACTGCCTGGTGCTCAACTACCGGCTCCGCCACGGGCTGGGCTGGAGCGCGACCCCGGGGGCCGAGGCGGACGCCGGCGCGGGCGGGCTGCTCAGCTGCCTGGGCTGCCGCGGCTTCCTGCACGAGCCGGTGACCGTGCCCTGCGGCCACAGCTACTGCCGCCGCTGCCTGCGGAGGGAGCTCCGCGCCCGCTGCCGCCTCTGCCGGGACCGGCTGCCGCCCGCCGCCGCCGCCGCGGATGCTGAGGGGACCGCCCCGCGGCCGCCGCCTCTGGCCGCCGCCATCGCCGGGTCGGGCTTCAGAACCAGCGTCGTCCTCAGCCACCTGGCCGAGAAGTGGTTCCCGGGCCAGCGGGCGCGAGCCCGGGCGGCCGGCCGGCTCGGGGAGCTGCTGCACCAGGGGCGCTACCGGGAGGCCCTGGCCGCCGCCTGCGAGGCGCTGCGAGCAGGTGATCGCGCGGGATGCGGCTCGGGCCCGGCCGACCCCACCCTCCCGGCCCCGACGGGCCGGCGCCCGGCTCCGCTCTGCGTCCCGGGGAGGTTCCTCTTCCCCGCCTGACCCCCGCTTGTCGGGTCTCGGGGTCCTCCGGGGTGCGGGAGGGGGCGGCGCCCCGGGGTGCTTCGGTCACAATGGGGATCGCCCTAGGAGCCGACTGTGACGCGGCGCGGGGAGGGGCACACGGGCGCGGGGTTCCCTCTGCCCCGGCCCGGCCGGTCGGGCGGGCGCACCCCGAGTCGAGTGTGGCCGGGCGAGGCCGCCCCGGCGCAGGATGGGCTGGGAGTTGGGTGGCCCGCGCGGCCGTTCGCTTCCTGCCGCGCTCTTTCCGGTAATTGGCCGCTCGGGCCGGGCCGGGCCGGGTCCCTGCGGGGGAACCGCAGCCTGGGCGGAGGGAGGATCCCCAGCCGAGGCCGAGCGGGCAGCGTTTACCTTGGTCTCCCACAAAAGTCACCGGGGCAATTGGAAGCCGCGGGAGGGCAGAATTGCATAAGCTGGGTGGGGGGGCGCGTTGTGTAACGGGTGACGTCGGGTGGGCGTGGCGGGAGCGCGGCGCCGGCACCCTGCACCCCGCGGCCGCGGGGCTGCGGGCGGGTGGCGGAGCCGCCCGGGGTGCTCAGAGCTAACCTGAGGGTGTCTGCAGAAGTGGTGCCTTTTGAGGGGTCCAACCTGCCGATTTAAAATCAGACTTATTTCATAAACACGTGTGCTTGCTTTCAAAGGCTAAATTTAGCGCACTGTGGAGATAAGTAGCCTCTGATGGAGTTGTTGGTCAGGCTTCTGTTTGCCTTTCCATTCTTGATCCAAGCTCTGGGGAGAGGCCCTGGAGGGCTTTGGTCTGTTTCTTTGCCTCCAGCAAGCATTTTGGAGCCCCTAACCTAGGTTAGCACTTTTCTTAAGATGTTTTGAAGCTATGGAAGGGAACACTGCCAAACTTAACTCTGGAAATTGAAAAGCCCTTCTTCAAATTGCTGTTTCTCCATGGGGGGCGGCTTGTAGCCGGTTCCCCACGCCCACCCCGCCATTACCTGGAACAATATTTGGAGTCATTTTTTGGTGGTCCCCAGTGGGGGTGGCGCTGGTACATCTAGTAGTTAGAGACCAGGGATGCTGCTAAACATCCAATATCGAACAGAGCAACTTCCCACACATTTATCAAACCCAGAATGTCAATAGTGTCACTGTCAAATCTTTCGTTAAATAGGCATATTTTGAGCCTAGTGTCTATATCAGCATGAAATAATATTTGGCAGTAGTTCCTGAAAAAGATATCTAAAATATAAACTAATGTCAAGTAAATTTATATGTTAACTATGTAATTAAAAGTATCTTCTTGTGTGTGTGTGGGGGGGGGGTCTTTTACCTTAAGGGCTTCATTTCCAGCTAATGAGGAGATATTGTGTTACTTAATACCTTTAGTGTTTAAAGGACAAACCTGGCAAATTTTCATGTTTTTTATCTTTGTGGGGAGTAGGCAGTTACATTGACCCAGAGCAAAAGAAAATTATCTGGAATACAAAATTCTGATGCAAACAACTCTATCTCTGTGGTGAATAGACTGAGAGTAGGGAAGCTGGACTTGGCAGTATAGATAACTTGATAATAAATAACTGGTCCACATTTTAAAAATAAAGAAGCAGAAACTGCTAAGGCATTGAAATGACTTGGGCACAGTCACACGACTAGCTGCTCTTGAGGCAACACTCTCCCCTCCAGTTTTAAATGTGGGACCAGCGTTCATCCTGCTTTTATTGGTCATCCCCTGAAATAGTTAACAAATTTCCAAGGAAGATTTCTTTTTTTTTTAATCACTAGCTTAAGCACATAAAATTTACCCACAGCACTCTTCAGTATTAATTACTACCTACTTAGCGATTTGACCTTTTAATGATTTGTCTATGTCCTAATCCATGGGAGAACATTAAACATATTTACTAATGAAGGTCTAACTTAATGTTTTATGGCCAGTAATCTTTTAATTAAGGCAGAGTTGAAGCCTGGGTTTAAGTATATTATTTTTAGTGGAAAAAGACATTGAAGATTCACTCCTTTTTTCAGTTTGCCCATTCAGCTGCTTCTAGTTTTGCAGGACAAGACCCTAGTCTCCTGACTTTCATCTTATTAGCCTGTTTTCCCCTGATAGGTCTTTCAGAAATTATTAATTCCATACTTGAAAATTTGTCTAAATGGAACCACTGAGGCGACATTTTTCATCCTTCAGTTTTTTAGTGTAAAGCAAGAGGAAAGTATCTTAGAACTCTAACATAGTTGGTAAAGTGCAGCTATTATGTGTGTAACAGTTTATAGGCATAAATAAAAGTCAGCTAGTAGACTCGTGAATCTGTACAGTTAGGCTTTAACTTTCTGAGAGACAGTTGGTTAGCTAGATGGGCAGTTGAAGTATTTTTGTATAGTTGTCCAGTTGTACTTATTAATGACGCTCTCAACATTGCTGAGTAAATACTATTAACTAGAAAAGGAGAATCTGGTCTACAGTTAGCCCACACACATCCAAATTTATCCCTGTCAACAAGAAAAAGCTTGGAAACCTTTGCCAAAATCAGAAGTTTCCCATTGAGATTACATAAGTTTCTGTTGAATTGAAATATATTTAGATAACATTTAATCCATTGATCTTTTGGTATTAACTTTCAGATGTTTCATAACTTTCTGTCTTTTTAGTATTCATGGATATTATATAAAAGTCTTTTCAGCAGTAAGTCTTTAAGAGTCTGTTGAAATGATCCCACTTTGCTATGCTTTTATTTTAATGAATTTTTCCAGACTTGCCTCCTCCCTGGGTACAGCCCTCTCCCCTTAGAAAAAGATAACAGAACAGTATGATTTACAGTTTAAAATGATTTTTTGAAAAGTTTACAAGGGTAGAATTTTTAAATAAAATACTTGGTGGAGGAAATTTTTGCTTTATTATTATTTATATAGTTATTGACTATTTTCACTATTTTTGCATCTTTTAAATCTAACTTCCACAATGAGTCCTGAGGGGTACTATTATCCTCAGAACAAAAGGGAGAGACTTGGAGAGAGATGCTGTGGTCTAGTGGTTTGAGCTGTTATGCTGGACGCTGACTGCGTGGGTTTAAATCCCATTGCAGCCCTCCACTTACTCTTGGACCCTGGGCCTGATGTCTACCCTGTTTTGGTTTCCTTGTCTGAATAGTGAGAATAATATCTACTTCACAGATATATACTAATCATAACCACCACCAAAAAGTGTTGTGAGAATTAAGTGTGTTAAAACACGTAAAGTGTTTTGTGAGTAAATGCCCAAGTAAATATTAATTAAAATATTTTTTAAAACTGTAAGTTATGCTACAGCAAGATGATGATTTTGCTAAAGTTAAAACCTAAACCTTGTGATTTTTAAGTTTTATTTTTTTTCTACCACATTAATATTACCATAGTGAAAGTTAAATTCTGATTCTGGCCTATCCATGTTAATTAGTAGTCATTGTCAGATTTCATCAATAAAATGCATATGCTACAAAGCTTCAGTTAGAAAAAGAGTAGTCAAATTACAAGTAAATACTGACTACATTTAAAGAAAATAAAAGGGATTTTTTATATCTTAACTGACTCCAAGAGACTTGAATCTAATCAATAAACAAACGTATGTCCTAATTTATTGTGCAGAAGACTTGAAACTGTAAGCACTGACATCTATCTGGTGTTTTATATTCACAAAATACATTCACTTGCATTATAACTGTTCCTCACAAAAGATCATGTGAGATAGGAAGGCAAGTTTTAGTATCTCTAATTCACAGATTTAAGAAAAGAGCTCCAAGAATTTTATGTGGCTTTTTAAAGGTAAATAAAGACCAAGCTGGAATTGAAAATAGAAACTGGCATATGGACATTGCTTCCAAATATAAAGTTGATGTTAACAAAATTGCGTAACATAATTCTTAGGTATTCTTTCTATTCATTTTATTGAGTACCTACTATATACTCAGCATTGTTTTGGGTGCTAGAAAGGCAGAAGTGAAGAAAAGTAAGTCCCTGTATGTATGGAGTATATTTTTTCTTTTAAAATTGCAGCAAATTCATATTTATTGAAAATCATTAGAGAATGGAACTTTTTGCTTCACTGACAAAAGCTTATATGCTGCTAATCTCTTCTCAATTCAGAAGGTAGTTTATTATTTCAATAATAGCATATTGTTACTGATAAAAAGATTAAAAAAGTTACATACATGTATAAGTGTCCTGTGTTAAGTCAACAATTTCCTTGCTTTTACCTTTGTTTTTTCATCAGATAATGCAAAATTTACCAAAACTCAGTTAATCTTAGATTTCTAGTTATTTTTATATTAACTTTCTCTTTATTCAGAATCATTTTTTTGTTTTCTGGAATATTTCTAAGAGGTTTGGCTAGATTCAAGTAAAATTGTAAGTGAATTTGTTTAGTACTTTGCTCATTCATTGCAAATTTTTTTTTTGATTTATTTGTTTATGCATACAAGAACTGGGGTACAGGCCAGAGGTGCGGGGTGTGAGAGGATTCACCAGAGACAGAGTGGGGAACAGTACACGCAGATTGACTGAAATACACTGCTGAAGGGAGTGGCAGGCGAGACAGGAGATGTCTGCCGCGCCATGTGGATAGCTCCCTGGTCGGGCTGCAGAGAGCTTCATAGACTCTTATTACTAGTCTTGTTCCCTAAGGATTGGGACTCTAGAGAACTCTGTTCCTCAGCACATGAATATATTGGACAATTTAATAATGTTCTCAGACGGGCAGCAGAACTTTATTTCAATTTTTTGTATTTGCCTCACAACACTGCATTACAGTGTCTAAGACAAGAGAAAATAAGAGCATGAATTGAGCTTAAGGAGACAGATTTTAATGATTCTCCCCTAGTTTAGCAAACATTAAAACCAGGATTTGAGGAAACAAAGAAAATGATGGAGGGAGCTCAGCATAGAGTTTAAAACTAATAAAGGCTATGCTCATACAGTGAAGAAATACAGTCTTAACAAATAGTGCTTACAATATACCAACCCTGTTCCAAGTAGTTTGTGCACACTGACTTACTCTCTTGAGGAATCCTGTGTGATGGGTACTGCTATTGGCATGGAGGCAAAAAGCAAAAACTTTGGAGCCAGATTGTTTAAGGTACAATCTTGATTCCATCACTTAACTAGCTGTTTGATTTTTTGGGTACAAGTTACTTGAAAACTCTTTAAGTGTTCAGGTCCCTTGTCTATAAAAAATGCTGACAATGGTAGTCCCACACAGGTATATTCCAGAGGTGGTAAATTATTTAGATAGTACGCAGTAAGTGATGTTTCTTAAACAAAAGTAAATTTCAAAATCATTCTTGGTTTTTATACCTGAGGAAACTGAGGTACAGAGGTCTTTAGTAGTTAGGTCACAGGGAAAGTGGAGGAGCCAGAAATAGAACCCAGGCAGTTTGAATTCACAGCTCATGCTCTTGATCTTTACAGTATGCTTAGAAGGAAGACTCGAATGAAAGATTTGGGGAGAAGATTGGTGAACTGAGTCTTATTGGATAAGAAAAAGCTATTCTGATGAAAGGAAAGTGGGGTAGCATGGCAGGAGAGAGCTCTGAGCAGAGAGGAGGTATGAACTAGGATGGTATATGAGGGACAGGATCAGTAGTAAGGTATTTTTGAGACAAAGTAGGGATTGATACTGATAGGAAAGCTGGACAGAAGGGCGGGCCTGGAGGAACTTGTATGTTACACTAAATAACTCCTTTTTTCTATAACATCATGAGGATATAGGTAATGGAAAATAGGAAGCTATTGCAATAGTATTAAGAAAGTTTTGGGAGCCTTAACTGGGGCTATTGGAAGAAGGGTTGAAAAAGACTAGGTTCAGATTTGAGAGAAACTATAGGTGGAATTGACAAAGTTAAGGATTTGACTTGGATGATCAGTGATATCATTAGTAGCGAGCACAGTGAGAACATGTATTTTGGGGTGGGAAACATAGTGTGTTTGAAGGCAGGTACTATAAGCAGTTGGAAATTTGATGGATCTGAAGGTAGGGTGAGAAAAGTAAGGGTAGAAAGAAGATTAGGGAGTTTAATCATGTTCGGTTCTATTAGTCCCGGTCATGTCTTAGTTTTTCTTTTTTATATTTTTTACATCATTTTTCATTTTTTTCACAATGTATGCATGTCTTAGTTTTTCTTTTTCAACAAATTGACGCTACAATATCCAGGCACTGGTAAAGCACTGTGGCTACCTGGCTGAGAGACAGCCCCTTTCCCTGATAGTGTTCACAGGGAAGTGAACTGTTCAGTGTCTTCAAGGCCATGTAGAGAGAGCATGCAGTAAATACTCATTGACTTTTCAAACTCGCGTTGATGGCTTGGCCAGGGCTGATTGCTTTTTTCACAAATGTCTTTATATGAAGGGTACATATTCTGTATGCTTCTGACTTCAGAATGGCCTCAGTTAGTGTACCTGGCTCTTTTTTAGCATTAGGAAGGGTTTGAAGTAACTAAGTGGGGTGGCTCTCATCTTTTGAAAACAGTATCGGGAATTTGAGTTTACCTGATGAGGCTCCCTGCAAAAAAAAAATGTCATTCAGTATAGTTATTGTATTAATGTTTGAAGCTCTCAATAAAACCATTACCTGTAAGGAATTTGGGAGCAAGAGTGTTGTAACATCTGACTCCTATCATCTCTACTTAGGATATACTTCTCTTATCCCAGTACACACTAACTTTTTAGGATCCCCTTTAAGGAGTCTCAAGAGCCTGAGTGTTTTTTGTGTGGAGAGGAGTGCAGAGAGGGAATGTACTCTTGCTTTGGTTAGAGTGGAGAAATTTGATATATTGAGTGGGTTTTTCTTTTTTTTTGATATTTTTTTTTTTTAAGATTTATTTATTTATACAAGCACTGGGTACAGTCAGAAGCACGGGAGGGTGAGAGAATTCACAAGAGCCAGAGCAGGGAGCAGAACAGGCAGACTGACGAAATACACTGCTGAGGGGAGCAGCGGGCGCGGCAGGAGAGGTCTGTGCGCCTTGTGGACCCTCGCAGGTGGCCGGGGATTGAACTGCGCTGCAGAGGCTGTGAGCAGCTTCGCAGCCCAGCGTTCAACCGCTGCGCCACCAGGGAGGCCCTGAGTGGGTTTTTCAAAGACAGAGTTCTTCTCATTTACTTCCTTCAGTACTGCCTTAAAGGAAGTGTAACCTAAGTGACTACTGAGATTTGATAAAAAGGCTCTGATAGTCAGCAGTTCTGAATGGGCACAACATCAAGTATGATGCTGTGGGGACTTGCTGTTAAAAAAAAAAACAAACTTGGGGGGAAAAAAAAAACAACAAAAACCAACCCAGTAAGTGATCCAGGAGTGGAATAAGTTGCCTGTTGAGACAGAGTTTCCTCCCCTGGAAGTCCTGGAGAGGACAGGGTGGTCTCTGGGATCCTCTCTAAAATACCCCAGCTGTGGATGGAGAGCTGCACGTCCTGGGCCACAGACCTTCACAGCTCAGGGGTTTTGATGCTGATGTGTTTAATGCTTACTCTTGGCACATACTAGTCTCTATTGTCTGAACTATAGTTATGCTTGTTAGGTCAGGATTACATGATGACTGTTTGACAATAAAGTAAAAATCTTTAGATTTGTGAGCTTCTTAAAGACTGTCAAAGTGAACTCTTGAACACTTAGAGTCTAGCTTTGTGTTACAACTCTTAATTCTTGATTGATTAATCATATTGAACTTTCAATTTCTCTGCTTTTTTGGTTCAGGAATAATGATTTACAATTACATTGCTTTGGAATAGACACCAAGAAAAGGCAAAATACTCTTGACGTGTCTTTTTTTATTTAGAAAGTAAGAAATATTTTCATGAAATGTTAATTTCATTCTTTACAAATTTTCATTAGTATAAATTTGATATAATTCCAATTCTTAAGCACCAGCAGTTGAAAGAGGGCTCTCTAATTGTTAAATTGAGAGTTATCTTTAGAAAACAGTCATTTAAGGGGCCTCCCTGGTGGCGCAGGGGGTTAAGACGCAACCTATGAAGCTGTCCACAGCCACTGCAGCACAAGTTCGATCCCTGGGCAGGGAGCAACCCACATGGTGCAGCAGACCTCTCCTGTCTCTCCTGCTGCTCCCCTCAGCAGTGTATTTCAGTTAATCTGCCTGTTAATGAGACATTACAGGTCTTTATACCCATTTCACAAGGAGTACATTATAACCATACAATTTTAAAGGCTTCAAAGATTAAAGCTTTAAATAAGAGTCAATCTAATGTTGTAGATGTCATTAGTTTCTGGCTTAGACTTCAGTATCAGAATCTATTTATCTGTAGTAATTGATTATAGTATCATAGGTGAGCCAACTAGTGCTTACAATTCTCACATTGGATACTAAATGATTTGTCAAGTAGAGATGCAGAGGTTAGTGAGATTATCAAAGATTTCTCCTCAGAAATATTTGAAATTAAGTCTGTTTGGGACTATCCAATATAATTCTTGCTAATGGCAGTAATTAAAATTCTGAGATCTTAAGAATACTGATTCTTACCAAACCATTTCCTCCAGACTGCTATATAGCCTCATGAAATAAAGCCCTGGTCAGTCTTTTTGGCATGGGAATACCATGTCCAGTAGTTAAACTTACAGTTGTTTATGGGGATTTAGAAATTAGGATATAGAAAAATTAAAATTTGTAGTACAAAAGTAAATCCAAAATACCCAAGACTATGTCTTTTAAATCTTTATAGAGGGCCCTGTTTTAAGAAAATGTTTTCTTAGAAGTAATGACTGTTATAGAAGTATTTCCATTACAAGTAGATCAGTGGATTAAGGTTTTTTTTTGTTTTTTGTTTTTTTTGGATTAAGGTATTCTTGAAAACACAGTTTCCTCCATTAAAATAATCTATTTTTCGTGGCTTGATGTAACTTCTAGATAAGATTCAGCATGTACTTGGGTTATACCTATATACTATACTTGGTTCACAACCTTAACTAAATCAGTTATTAATGTAGTGTGATCTATTTTGTGGAAAATAGTCTTTTATCAATAATCAGATCTTTATGAAATATTTCAGAGCCCAGTGACTTGACTCTGAAAGTTTACAGAGCTGAATCATATGCTGGTCTCCAAGAGTTTAAAGCAGCCATAGAAGATTTAAATGCAGTTCTCTTTCAACTGCCAAATTGGCCTGAGGTAAATTCACTGTTTTGTATTTGCATAAATTTAAAAATTTCAACTGTAAGGAACATGCATTCAATTATGACTTTAAGTTTTAACAGAATGGTTGGTTAACTCTTTAGATAAAATAGAGTTCTAGAAATCTGGGGTCAATATTTTGGGTGGATGAACATCGTGTGGCAATATTTTAAATTATGAAAAGGTTTTCTTTAATAACTAAAGAAGAACCTGAATTCAAGCCACAGAAAAAAATATTATACAGAATTGGCCTTGGAGTTACATCTGTCCTACTGTTAAGATGGATCCAAACTGGACATCAGTGGAGGAGGTTTATTTGTGAAAAGAAAAGAGCTCCTTGAAGCTGGGTGTTGGAGACATTGTAATGGGAATTGGATGATTGGGCAGTGATTTAATGTAAGAAATGGGGACAAAGAAAGTTGCCGTGCCACGATGGTTTTAAGAAAGACATGAGGCATGCATATAATGTATAATCCTTTATGAATTATTTTTATAAAAATAATTTATCAAAAATTTGCCAAAGCAAATCATTCCATCTCCCGTAACATGTTCTTTAACTGGAAGTCAGTCTTATATGTCAATTATTCCTCCATTCAAGGTTGTGTCTTTGAGAACACTATAGTAAGGATGCTGTAAAAATTATTAATGGGGAAACTGAATCAGTCCCTTGCTGGTATGACTGGTTAGTGTAAGGCAAATATATATTAAGAGAGTGGATGATCTGTCAAGATAGATTTAAACCTGTTTGAAAAAGAAAGAACCCTCTGGACTTAATCACTGAAGTGATATAATTGGAAGTACGGTTTTGAAGTTATTTTCTGGGCCTCATTTCTCCCCTAGGTAGCTTCTCTAGGGTAATGTGTAAATATATCTTTAAAATGCTTTACGGTCCTTAGAGTCCAAACTCCCCAGAGTTTCAATTTCTGAGCAGGCTTTTTTTTTTTTAATCCTTGTATTGATTTTTTAAAAAACAATTCTATCTCTAACGGTTGTGCATCTGTGCTTTTTTATTCAAGGTCTACTTCAGGAAAGGAAAAGTACTCCATGATGCTGGTTTTTTAGGTGATGCCTTACAACTGTTTCTTCAGTGCTTAGCCCTTGATGAAGATTTTGCACCTGCAAAGCTAGAAGTAGAAAAGGTAATCAGTTTACTAACTCTGAGACAGAGCTAAATAACAGTTTAAAAAAAAATACTAAATAATGTTTTTCTGGACAATATAGAGTTTTTTGTTTTTGCTTAGGGTATCATAAATATATATGTACATGTCTAATCGAGGGCTCTTTATCCTCTCTCAAATGTCAACATTTCTTCATTTCTTTTCTTTTTTTTTTTTTTTTAAAGATTGATTTATTTATACAAGCACTGGGTACAGTCAGAAGTGCGGGAGGGTGAGAGAATTCACCAGAGCCAGAGCGGGGAACAGAGCAGACAGACTGACGAAATACACTGCTGAGGGGAGCAGCGGACGCGGCAGGAGAGGTCTGTCACACCATGTGGGACCCTCGCCAGCGGCCGGGGATCGAACCAGCGCTGCAGAGGCTGCAGGCAGCTTTGCAGCCCAGCACTCAACCGCTGCGCCACCAGGGGAGGCCCAACATTTATTTTCAGTATAATCACTACAGAATATATAGCTGTAATGGGAAATTCTAGTCCTTTGTCTTTAATGCCTTTTTTGAGTCGATAAAGGAAATTTGCCCAGTTTGTAGTTTCAGCAGAAATGTAAAAACCTATAAGTTTGTAAAATGTTTGTTCGTTAAGTGGGGTATTGCTTGAATCTTCTGACCTTGCAATGCCTTGCAATAAAAGAAACATAACACTAAAAAAATGAAAAAACAATAATAATAAAAATGCTAATTAGAAAGTTGGCATAAGAACATAAGGAGTTCATAAGTCAAATTTAGTCACAGTTTCAAAAGTGATTTTCAGGTTCATATATTTAGTGTATGAAATTCTTACCAAAATCAAAACATTCCTTCACAGATATTTGAATGTATTGTTTTGGTTAGTTAAATTTAGATGTCCCCTAATTGTTTGTTTGATCCTAGCCAGACTAAATATCCTTAATTAAACATTGTTGTCATGATGTGCCTTCTAAGGAATTTTTATTGGCCTGACTTTTGCCTTTCATTTCAGGTCTAAACTTTGCTTAGTCTCCACAGCTGCTGATAGTAAACCGGTTTAGCCTCATTTTTCTCAGCATTTCATTTATCACTTTCCTGAGTTTGTTTTGTGATGTGTTAGTAGGTGTTAATTTAAAAACAGGGAAGGGGATTTTCTGATCAAATGACTTTGGGAAACATTGGGTTTAAACAGGTTTCTTCAGAACTTCTCAAGAGTGTTTGCTGTGCTATGCATTCAACTTTTGTGAGACTTGTTCACAGAACATCTGGAAGGACTAGAGTCTTCAGAATTTATTTTGGGGAAACTATCAACCTTAACACAATTTCAGTGCCCAGTCATGATACTCTCCTTAGCATCTTCAAAATATGCCACACTTTACTACATTTTTGGTTTCTTAGACTGTGGAGTTTTGTTAGAATCACTTGTTGTACATGCTAAATGGAAAGATTCCTGGGCCTGTACCACAGGCCTTTGAAATCAGAATCTTTGGCATTGAGGTATAATATAATTTAACAAGCACTGAAGGAGATTCTTATGTACTCTGAACTATGAGAACTTTGAAATTTTTCTCAGAACCCAAATGCTTTATGAATCCAGCTGATATTGGAATGTCCTCTGTGAGGTGTATTTGCCATTCTAGCCTACTGATTTTTTTTAAAGATTTATTTATTTATACATAAAGAACTGGGGTACAGGCCAGAGGTGTGGGGTGTGAGAGGAGTCACCAGAGACAGAGTGGGGAACAGAACAGGCAGATTGACTGAAAAACACTGCTGAGGGGCGCAGCAGGTGAGTCAGGAGAGGTCTGCTGTGCCATGTGGGTCAGCTTCCTGGCCGGGGGCCGAACTTGTGCTGCAGATAGCTTCATAGGTTGCATCTTAACCCCTGTACCACCAAGGAGGTCCTTCTAGCCTACTGATTTAACCAAATAATTGTTTATTGTTGTGTGTTTTATGAATGTTCTGTATATGTTAGTATTATGACCCTAGTGAGTGGGTTTATAATTTTGCATTTTTCATGCTGCAGGATATTCTTATATTTTCCTAAATATTTGTCTGTTGGTTAACAAGGCTAGGTAAATGCAAAACAATTCATGCTTTGAAATACTTGTTTTTCTCCAGTACACTTTTTGTAAATTGTTATATAATTTACATCTAATGAAATGATACAGACTATTTCCAATACCTTAAGAATGTTCCTTTATCTCCTTTTCAGGCAACTAGTGAGCATCTTTGTGTCTGGCCTTTTTTGCTCAACATATTTTTGAGATGCATCCAGCAATTTTTCTTTTTTACTGTTCACTTCGTATTCCATAGTATGAACTTACCACACTTTGTAGTGATTGTGTAATTTTCATTTGGATTATTTCTAGCTGCTTCTGTGAATATTCTTTTACAAGTCATTTTGTGGACATATGCTCTGTATCTCTTTGATAAATAACCTAGTGGTGTTGCTAGGATCTAGAGTAGATGTATGTTTAATACTTTTTTTAAACTGGCAAAAAAGTAAAAAACCTACAGATTTGTAAATATTTGTTCATTAAATGATGTAGTGCTTTAATGCTTACCAGTGATGCACACTTTTAATTACATTGTCTTTGTTTCCTTTTGCTTTGCATTGTAATGATTCATGAATAATTTTGATTTTTTTATTGAAGATAGTATATTTGAAAACCCAAACCTCCATATTTATATTTTAGGAAATGCTGTGCTGTATGTATTAATTTAGCAGCTTATTTGACAACAAAAAACACTGAATACCTTTCATTTCGTTCTAGCTAGTTTCATTCTAGCCCCTATCTTTTGTTCCAATAAGAGTTTTAGATGTACTCGTAATAAATGTATACCTGAAATTTTGAAACAGTAGCTACCTTCCTGTTTAACTTACATCTTTTTGGAATAACTGCCATTTGGTGCTTCCAACCAAGTGCCGGGCTGTGGTGATGGCCAGGGCAGGTTAACAGTTCCGCTGAAGCTAAATTCAGTGTAAATACATGGAATTTTAGAGTTTTGTAGTGAAAGGTCTAAGTTCTTTGCTTCACATGAACACTCTAAGTACACTCTTAAAATATACATTGGAGTGAACCATGAACTATTTCGACAGAGTAAGACTCAATGATGTTCAAAGATAAATATTTTCTTTTCTTTTTTTTTAAGATTTCTCCTTTTTTTATAATCTTATAATCTTTCTTTAAAAAAGGCAACCTTTACCTTGGATACCTTCCCAGGATACCAGTCTAACCATTCTCATGCCTTCCTTTTGAATCATTTCTTTGAAATGAATCATACCATTGCGGCACACCTTGGTTTTGGAAGATTTTTTAATCAGCTTGTCAGTTCTATATTATTATTAATAATTGATTGCTTTCCTGTTCATGAAAAACTGCTACAGATTTTGTAAAAATTCTTAAACATTAGGTAAATTATTCTTAATCAGATATTTTAATTTTCCTTAATTGTATATTTCTCTTACAGATTTTATGTGATTTATTATCACCTGAAAACTTAAAAGAAGGCCTGAAGGACTCTTCTTGGAGTTCATTATCATGTATTAAAAACAAACCTTTTGGTTTTCCTTTAGTAATGGAAGAGTCTCATTCTCCCAGTGAGCTTAACTCAGAGCAGGTAAGGTATGAGAAAAGATTATCAAGGGTTCAAGTGTATGTTCTTGACAAGTTAAGATCTTCACTTTTCCTCATTTCAAGTACTAGCCTCTAACAAACTTTAGCCTGGTAAGTGCTGTCTTAATAGGATTTGTCTGTAACTTTTTATTTTATACTAAAATCTTTAAAATGTTCTTTAATCATAGTTTAAAGTCACTTGAATGTCAGAAAACTTTTAGTCTCTAAGAAAATGTAGAATATTTTATTTATTTTAGTTTCCTTAGAGTAGGAACAACTCTAAGCATAACTCTAAACATTATTATAACATAATTCATCTTGATGTCTAGATTTATATAAGGATGGCAAAAAGTATTTGCTTGCCTGGGTTTAGAATTAAAAGTTAATGATGAGGGCCTCCCTGGTGGCGCAGCGGTTGAGCGCTGGGTTGCGAAGCTGCCCGCAGCCTCTGCACCGCCGGTTCGATCCCCGGCTGCTCCCCAGCCACCAGAGGAGGGTCCCACATGGCGCACAGACCTCTCCTGCCGCCCGCTGCTCCCCTCAGCAGTGTACTTCGGTCCTTCTGCCTGCTCTGCTCCCCGCTCTGGCTCTGGTGAATTCTCTCACCCTCCCGCGCTTCTGACTGTACCCAGTGCATGTATAAACAAAAACCAAACCAACAAATAAATAAATAAAAAAAACTTGCCTCTATTAAAAAAAAAAAAAAAAAAAGTTAATGATGATAAATGAACTATGAAATGAACATTATGAGGCATCAAAATTTTGTTTCCATTTGACTCTTATTGAGAATAGGGAATAGTAAAGAAATGTAGTTACTCTTTTTTATTGTAATTTTGTAGAATGAAGAAATACCAGAGGTCACTTCAGAGCCTGTCAAAGGAAGCTTAAACCGTGCTCTGTCAGCACAGGCTATAAACTCAACAGAAATGCCTGCCAGAGAGGATTGTTTGAAAAGAGTGTCCTCAGAACCTTTGCTCTCTGTTCAAGAAAAAGGTGCTCTGTTAAAAAGAAAGTTGTCTCTTGTAGAGCAGGATGTAATTGTAAGTGAAGATGGAAGAAATAAACTTAAAAAACAAGGAGGTAAAAATTCACTGCTTTTATATATGTTTATTTATTTAGAATGACCTTTAAACTTTTTCCTAAAGAAAGCCCTATCTTTGTTTTAATAGAAACTACCTGTACATTTTCATTAACTTATGGTGACATCCCAGAAGAATTAATAGATGTCTCAGATTTTGAGTGTTCTCTCTGCATGAGGTAAGTATATGAAACTTTGTAAGAGGTGAATATTTTCTATTAATATAATTGAACTACAGACCAGATAAAAGTAATAATAGGTGATATAATGTAACAGAATACTGGATTAAAAATCAAAAGATAGTCATAGGTTTTTCCCACCTTGGACAAATAACAATCTCTGAACCCTTTGTTTTCCTTGCTTAAGAAAGTGTGGTCAGTATTTGCAGAGTCCATATTGCAGTATTATAAGAATACAGTAACTTAATTATAAAAAAAATATGGGAAATTATAAACTACTACAGAAGTTAAATGTATTATTACTGAAACTTAGCTATAGACATTTTTTTAGGAATTGGTTTCTGCATATTGTGAAATGATTGTCACAATAAGTTCAGCCAATATCCATGGTCTCATAAAGATAAAATTATATACAAAGACTACATAATTATGTTCAGTATGTATTTGATTGTCTTGTTTATGTATCTTACCCATAAAGTCATGTTAAAGTAACATTGAGTAAGGTGAGGGGATTAGACCAGATGATTGATTTCTATAGTTAGTGCCTATGCAATTGATTTTCTAGGGAGATCAGAAGTCTCATGTTTCAGGAAATTATTACAATACAAGTAAAAATAGTTTTTTTGTATTGTTTTTTATAGCTGGTATTAGCCTTAGATTTCTTTAGGATTCAACACAGTATTTATTGGATTATTCTTTTTAACTAATTTTATACAGGTGGACTTCTATAAACTTACTAAGAAAATCAACTTTAAAAGGAGGACAAAATAAAAATTTGACACAACAGCTAATTACTATTTATTAATGATATATTTACTTTATTTACTTGGGACTAAGTCTAAAATCTGGTGTGCATTTTACATTTACTCCACATTTCCATTTGGACTACTCAGATTTCAGGGGCTTGGGGGCAACCTGTGGTGAGTGGCTGTGTGTCAGTACAGCCCTGGGTCCTTGGCAGGACCTCTGTTGATGGAGAACTTTTCAGATTCAGGAGGGTCTGATTGTATTTATCACCACCTCTTCCCTCAATCCTACTCAAAAGCCTCCTTTCTCTTCTAAGTAGAGATCAGTGTTATGGTTCCATGATTATGTAGAAACTAACATGTATGTTGGTTGATTTCAGGTTGTTTTTTGAGCCAGTAACAACCCCTTGTGGACATTCATTCTGTAAGAATTGTCTCGAGCGTTGTTTAGATCATACACCATATTGTCCCCTTTGCAAAGAAAGCTTAAAAGAGGTAAGCATTTGTATATTTATCTGTTTATTGGTCTTAAGCTTGATGACATGACTTGATTTCTCTTCAGCCATAGAGACAGTGAATATCATATTCACAGTGAATTATATATGCTTAATGACCAAATGGATGTTTTATTACCTTCATTTTAGTGAGATCAGAGAGGCCTGGCAAAGCAGAGACTCTTAAAGGCCAAGTCCCTTATATTTAATTTTTTAAACAAATAGGTGTGGTCAGGTTTCTGGTCAGGAATAGGTTCGATTTTAATCAGTATTGGAGAAACCCAACTGCCCCACTTCCCACCCCCAATAGTAGGCTGTATCTCAGGCCTCTTCAGCCTGGTTAGCATCTAGAACAACTCTGTCCAATAGAACTTTCTTCTCCTGTGGAATTACTCTATATCTCTGCTGTCCAGCTGGTAGCCACTAGCCACATGTGGCAAGTAAGCATTTGAAATGTGGCTAGTGTGACTTAAGGAACTGCATTTTTCATTTTGCAAATGTTAATTACTTTAAATTTAAGTACTGTGACTAGTGGCAAGCACATTGCACAGCAAAGCTTTAGAAAGTGATAGACTAGAAAGAAGAGAGGCACAGCTTCCCACACTCCTCACAGAGTCAGCACTGATAAAGCCTGTGTTAAGAAAAAACCTAGATTGCAGGTGGGTATCTTCTGTAACTGATAGAAGATAGTACCCTCTTCATCACATGTGAGTGGCAGAGCCCTAAGGTGAGGCTAAAGCCTTATCCTTCTGAGCTCCAACCACCTGGTAGTAGCACTGATCAAGAAGCGTGATTCTCTCTGACAAAATTGTTTAAAGAAAAACATCTTTCAAATACATAGAAAGCACAGCTCCTTACAGATATCATAATCATAGATGTGTACTGTTAACATTAGATGTAAGTCTTACATACAAACTGATATGGAAACACAAAGCCACATACAGAATGTTTATAAAGTCAGGAAATAGAGAGACTCATTCTTGAAAGAGTTACTTTTACAACTAATATGTTCATTATTTTTAGGTGAAGTCTAAACTTGCTAATTTGCCTGTGTTTCCAGAGTTTTGGGATCCTCTCTAATTTATTATGTTTTCATAATTTTTAGATTAAGAATTAGATAACATTGCACTAAATTTAGAGCTGTAACACCTTAAAAATGCCTGAAGTTTTAAGAAAAACAAAACAAGCATATGACTTAAAAATATAATGAGCATACTGTTTAAAAAGAACATTATTCTGTTTTTTGATTTTGAAAACACTACATAAAATACTTGGTAAAATTTATATATATGTTTTTAAAAAAATAAGATTGATAACACTTTTATACTTTTCCTACTTGTCATTTTATTTTGTTCATTTTTTCATTTAAATGTATTTTAGAGACAATTTTCATAGCAATATAGTAGTCCAATAGTTTAATATTTCCCTATTGTTGGGTATGTAAGTTGTTTTATTCTCTTTTTTGTACCATGCTTTGATCTTTGACTATTCCCTTAGGATAAATTCTTGAGAAATGAAATACTGGATCAAAGGCCATATATTTGGAGGGTTCTTTAATTGTCTAGGACTCCAGTAGTGCTGCACAAATTTAGATCCCTATCAGTAATGTGAGAAAGCCAGTATTTTTCCAAATCTAATATGAATACTTTTAATAGAAAATTTAATAGAAAATAGTAATAAAATTGCTTTTATAATGGCTGTATTTTGATTAGCTTTATAGTAAACTTAAGTTATCTGTCTATATATTAATTGTTCAAGGGTATGTCTCTCAGGTCTAGAGGTTGGTGATTCTCAAAGTGCGCTTCCCTGCCTGGGCAAAATAGTTTTGCCAGGTTACTTGCTAGAAATACAAATTCTCTGATCCCACTCTTGACCAACTCAGAAACTCAGGTTGGGCTCAGCAATCTGCATTTTACCAAGCTAAACTTTAAAAATACATGCTCAGCTTTAAAAACTACTACTGTAACCCATTTCCCATCCTATTAGGAACTTTCCTAATCTAGCCTTCACTGGATAAAGATGAGTACTTGTTTTTGCTGGACCCACAGATTAAAGGATGGCTTCTCTTTATCTTGTCATTATTGCCCAGTAGTTTTTTCCTCACTATTTTTTATTAAATAAATACATATTGGGCATTTTTTTTGTCCAAAGTTCTGTGGACACTCTGGCCTGGCCCCGAGCCCTGTGAAGATTTTACAGAGATGGAATGTGTCCTTGCTCATGTGATATATAGAGAGAGTGAATGTGGGGCTCTTGGGAGACAGAAAAATAATTAAGGGAGGTTTTATGAGTAAGGTAAAATTGGCACCAGAGCTGGAAGGGTTGATGGACTTTCATAAGCAGGAGTGAGAGAGAAAATTTCTGGCAGCTGGAATAGAGAATGACACAAAAATACATGAGGGTAGCAGTTTTCCATAGTATCAGGGAATCGTACAAATGTTCCATTTTAAATAGAGTCGAGCAGTGACCCTATAGGAAAAGTAAGGTCTTGATAAGGGTTTGAGTGATTGTAGGCTAATGTTGAAAGGAAAATCTGAAAGAAAAATGATTTGGAGACTGCCACTGAAATTGGGAACAAGTAAGGAATCATTTAATTTACATAAGGCAAATGCATCATTTTCTTTTTATTTCTTACCCTAATTTTATTTCTCAGTTAAAATGATCATTTTAGACACCTGTGTGCTCTTAGATGTAAATCAGCCTATGGTATGAGAGATGGCAGGGCAGGGCTGACTAGTGCTAAGAGAGAATTTGTGATGTAGCAATACTTGGGTCATCAGTGCTGGTTCAATTTGCAACCATGTACTGTTAACGCTGCTGAGCAGAGCCTCAGACAGGTTTTACCTGTTAAGCATTGTCCATTGTAATACTCCCCCTCACTAAATTAATTCAGAATTGACTGTATAAATATGTCATGAAGGCTTTAATATATCAGTTAAACTGTTTTGCCTGTTTTATACTGTAGGAAAACAAACTGGGTGTAAAATAATATTGTCTTTTAGTATCTAGCAGATAGGAGGTACTGTGTCACACAGCTGTTGGAAGAATTAATAGTGAAGTATCTGCCTGATGAGCTGTCTGAGAGAAAAAAAATATATGATGAAGAAACTGCTGAACTCTCACAGTAAGTTTCTTCTCATAAAAATTAACATGATCAAATTATGAACTATGACCCTTTAAAATAGTAGGGAGAAACCTCATGGCAAGGCAAGCTGAATCCTGTCTTTAGTTCAGCCCAGTCTAGTCATAGGCATATTATGAACAAATATTGGTCAGCATCCCCTGTCCTCAGCAGACAGAATTTTTCTTTTATTTCATTTGATAACTTCTAGGTAGATCGTCTTCTGGGAATTATTGATCAGCTCTAAGCTTTATTTTAGGTAAAAGGGATTTCCTACAGAGACACTTGGTGGTGGAATAGGGGAAAAAGAGATAGAGCTGGTAACTGGCTTCTGGAAACAGCACCCCTCAGGTATCATGGCCTTGCAGGAGGAGATTTGAGAATGAAGGGCCTGAATGGGCGGGAGGTTTTAACTAATCAGAGATTTAGAAGGGGGTGGGGACCTTGAGGCCTAGACTGAAATTGGAAGGAATGAGATAGTGTCCAAATTCTCAATCAGTGAAAATATGAACTGGTGGCAGAATTGGGTTCATAACAGGAAGGTGAGAAACCTGGAGGTAATTTTGGGATTCAATGGTTTGGACCACTATTAACAACACATGTTAGCTAATTGGGGCTGGGTAGTATGTTGGACCTGTTTTTGTTGTTCTGTGTATCTCTCTTCCTTGTAGTTTTCTTCCTTTCTTCTCCCCTTCAGGTCTTTTCCTCCTTCACCAGTCATTTGTGTCTCTTAAAATTTTTTTTTTCATAAGTTTTTAGCTTTTTAACTCCTTTTCTTTCACTTTCTTTGAACTGAACACACTAAAGAACAAAACTAATTTTTATATGTTGTTTCTACTGTTATTCAAAATAAATTGAACATTTTCTATTTCCCACTTTCCAAGAAAAAAACTAATTGTGCTTACAGACTTTTCTTTTAACATATGTGTCCTTCAGATGTCTTTATTGCTCCAGTGGCCTTCAGTAGAAGAAAATATTACGATCCAATCTTTTCTTTACAGAATAGATTTGTGTTCTCATAGAATTGATATTTTTAGTGTGTGATTTATGATAGGAAATATTGTGATGTGAGGATTATGAACCTATTTGGTCAACACTGACAAAAGCTGGCTATGAGAGAGCCACAAATACACCTTTGAAATCTTACATGTAGTGACACAAGCAGGCCCCCTACACGAGAGTGGAAAGCTCACGGGTCTGATGGAATAGTAATGTGATGGAACCTGAATGAGAAGGAGAGCAGTGTGAGGGAATCTTGTTGCCTACCTATGGAACTTTCTTTTTAAGGTATAGCTGATGCCCTGGCACTTACAACTTTTGCTACTTAATAGCTGTATTGAGGTGGTTTTTTCTTTCAGTTCTTCATAAGTAAAGTTGAAGAACTAGTATTTGTATTTTAAACATTTTTATTAAATATTTTACATAAGTAACTTTTAGACTTTTTTTTTTTTTGAAGAAAAACTAGAAAATATGAGTAGGGGATAAAAAGCCATGTTCTATAACCCCAGGAATCATCATTGGTATTTTGGCATATGTCCTTCCAAATTTTAGTATTTAGGGATATATTTTAAAGAAAGGATCATTTTACTTATATTATCCTATAATCTCTATTTCTCATTGGAAATGACTTCATTTTCTTGAAGTCAAGATGATACGTACATAGCATCTTTAGTTGAAATATAGTATCCCATTTTATTCATAGTTTTACTAGTCCCCTCTTTTTGCTTCTGAGTTTTAGCTACTTTACTCATTACTGCAGTGGTCATTCTCACACTCCTTGTGGAATTTTTTCTAAAGGTGAGCCTGTTCAAAGTATATGAAGTTGTTTTTTTGTTTTTTTTTTTTTAAGTTTTGACACTGATTGCCAAATGTTCCTTCAGGATGGTTGTATTGTTTTAAATAGTCTGCACTGCCAGTTTTTCCCATACCCTTGCCAAAACTGGGCATTGTCTTTACCCTTCTTACTTCCTGCTAGTCTGACACTGAAGAAATTGTTGTATCATTTTAATAATCTGGAAAAAATGTTAGTACTTGTTTTTAAAAATATTTTTAATGCCTGAGAATTTTTAATAATTCACTTTTAGTCTTTTGTGGGAGTTAAAAAATTTTCTTACCTGAGAGTAATAAGTGTATTAGCGGTGAAAGGTTCAAAATGTTTTAAATAGATTTTTAATATAAAATACTAATTGTAATTTGTTGCCTTTTGATTGATTAAGACACTTAGCTCTGTATGATAATGTAGTGCCTCGAATTCAAAATTACTATAATAAATGAGGATTTTTAGTAATAATATTGCATCAGCGTGAGCTTAACATAGGGGAAGCTGACTCTTGTTCTTGTCAAGAATAAAAATCACCTTCTTTAGAGTTAATTACTTTTGTCTCATGTTAATGTAGTAATGTTATAAGCCTCATTTTTTTCCCTGTTCTGAAACATGTTAATGAAACTTTTTTCTTCCTCAGCTTGACCAAGAATGTTCCAATATTTGTTTGCACTATGGCCTACCCCACTGTGCCTTGCCCTCTTCATGTATTTGAGCCAAGATACAGACTGATGATTCGAAGAAGTATACAAACTGGAACTAAACAGTTTGGGATGTGTGTCAGTGATGCACAAAATAGGTATGCTTTCTGTGTACCTGAATATTTTTATTTATATAGGAACTCACTTTGAATATTGTTGAGAATTTGTGTTCGTTTTGTTTGAGTTTTGACAATAATCAGTCTTTCTTTTAGTTTTGCAGATTATGGTTGTATGTTACAAATTAGAAATGTACATTTCTTACCTGATGGAAGGTCTGTGGTTGATACAGTTGGAGGAAAGCGGTTTAGGGTTTTAAAAAGAGGAATGAAAGATGGATATTGCACCGCAGACATTGAATATCTGGAAGATGTTAAGGTATTAAAACATACTCTTTTCCAACACACTTTGGTATATTCTGTCCCAGGCAGTTAATAGGCATACAGGATATATTTTGCTAGGCACACAAACCAGTTATTTCTATTAGAGACCTGTAATGATACTTACTAGAATTAGCTCCAGGTTACTTTTTAAAAATCTTGCTCTTAATCATTGTGAACTACAAGAGAAGTTGGGAGACCAGAACCTAGATCTTCATTTCAGCCAGCACAATGCCTAGAATATATGTGTGCACATGTATACATGTGCATGTGTGTACATGCATGGTAGGTACTTAATAATAGGAGTTGACTGAATTGAAAGTTCCAACCCATCTAAGTTATGAAAGTACTAATCCTTGCACTTTTTAATTTATTAGCAGTCCAAGTTGATGTAATCTGCAGGTTGAGATTTGATATAAAGGTGAACATGTAAAATCCTTAAAGAATTGTTCTTTATATTGAGATATTCTAAAGATAACCATCATGATAAACTAGACACACTTGGGTGCTGTGTTCAAACTGTTGGGCATCACAGAGAAAGCATTGTCAGTATACTTATGAGTGATGTTTTACCTGGGGTGGGTTATTGTTGCTTTCTTGGATAGGATTAATGTGTCCCTTTTGATGTTTTCAGTACCTGATTTACCACCTGCAATTGGCTTATGTGCCAGAAAAATGATTTGTGATGCAGTAAATGTCAAATTAAAGGCAATTTACTTTTGGAAAGGCACTATAAAAATATAGATCTTACACTCTTGCTTGTCTGTCTGGTTGGGCCATTCATTTCAGTCAGCTTTTATTAAATGTTGGAATTAAGCATTTTTACAAACATTAGCTCAATAACTTCTCACAACTCTTAGGAAATAGCAGATGTGGAAAATAAAATTTAGAAGTGTTATTTTACCTAAGATCCTATAGGTAATGTTATAAAAATGATTTAAAGCTGACTCTGATCCCAGCCTTTCTACTTTATCATTATGTCATCATATTGTCTCTCTGCTGATAAATTTGATTAGCCTGATATTGCTTGTTCTATCTTATTAAAATGCTAAAGAGATACTTTTATTTGTGTAGTAGGCCAAAAAGTATTATGGGAATTGAAAGTTTGAGTTGATTGATACAGTCTGTGCCTTAGACAAGCCTGATGAATTATTTGCTAAAGGCATAATCTTTGTAAAACTAACCCTGTTTTAGTGTATAAATCAGATCCATTTTTCAAATTTAATGACAGTCCCTTGAGTATGTGGCTAAACATATGACTATAGACATACACACATGGCAATGGAATAGCTTATTAAAAGCATTATAGATTTGATATTTAGGAAACTGAGTTCTCCATGTCTTTCTGGTCTTAAGAATTTCTAGTAATTTTTCTTCATCTAAGTGTCCTCATCTATATTAAAACTTCTTGGAAAGTTCATAACATTCTGGAAAATCTTCTCAAATTTGTTTTTCATATCAAAGTCTTTTTTTTCTTGTGTGGAGATTGTAATTTCTAATGAAGGTTTAAGCTCTGTTATATTGCAGTAAAGTTCCTTGGCACTGAGAACTTGCTTTCAAAAGAATTTCTGCCTGTTTCTTAACTGACTCCTTTTTCCATCTCAGACCCCTATAATTTTTATCATTTCTTGTTTACGAGAACCCTGGGTTTTTTCCTTGAATTTTATAAGGGAGCACAGGAAATGCTTTTATTTTTTTAAAGATGATTGTAACAAATCTTGAGTTTTTTCTTGCCTAGATCCGGCCCATTATGTGTTATCAGAGGGCTAAATATTCCAACACCAGAATCTTCAACTGTGTGTGCCCTCTATTGTTCAGTTGACAACACTACACTGATAAACAGGAGTCAAGGAGCAAGCTGTAGGATGCAGGATGCTGCTGAAAGAGCAAGATCCTGGCCTTTTTATTTTTAGAATAATCATACAGCATCAGTTGTGTGGGGAAGGAGGAAAAAGAGAAAAGGGAGGGGTGGAACTAGAAAATGTGCTATGTCATCTATAACATCAGGGGTTACGAGTCTGCCGCCCCCCTCGCCCCCAGGCACTTCACATCTTCTTGATGACTCAGTATTAAGATTGAAATGAAGTCCTAGATCCCCAGCCATAGTCTCAATCTTACCAAGGCGTTCCACTGATCAGCCTCTGGGGTCTCTTGTCATACATTAGTCAACTATCCCCCTGGCGTTCCCGGTCATACCTGGTGATACATAGCCTTCCCAGGGTGATCAAGCTTTCTATCTTGATTGATTTGAAAGGCACCTTACAGGGTTGGGCTACTATAACTGATTGACGGGGCAGTTCTGATCTTGTATAGGAGTATAGAATTGTAGGTAACGAAAAGGGTGTCCGCAGGGGCCACTTAGAATTAGCAGATCCACTCTTATCTTTTTGTAAATTTATTTTTATTATGATGACTTATATGTAACATGAAGTTTACTATTTTAACCACTTTTAAGTATATACTTCAGTGGCATTAAGTAAAATTATGTTATGCAAAAAGCAGATACTTTTTTAAACTTGTGTTCTATTTATTTCAAATCTTCCTAAAGTAAAAAGTATGTTCTCTTTTCTCATGCATACTATAGTGTTACCTTTTATTATTTCAGAATGGTTTTAGAGCCCCTTTGTTGTTTTATATTTAGTCAGCCTTGAAGTATGAAAGGCTGAGTCAGACCTGCAGTTTTTTCAGATGAATTAAAGCATTTGAAATAGAGCACTCCCTGGCACATAGTGTGCAGACGTAAATGTGTGTTAAAGAAGTACGATGGACGGGTTAACTTTCTACCTTCCCACCTGTGTTCTATGTGATGCCTCTGGATCTTAGGCTAGAAGGCTGATAAATTAATTTTATATTTGCATTTTGGTGAATCAGTAGTCTAAAGGGTATATGAAGGGCTGGTGGAAGTAGCAGCAAGCCTTCGGCCTTCATAGCTCAAGTTCATCATTACACAATTTATTCTCTACTTTTCACATGCTGGCTTTATATACTAAGTCACTTGTTGCATTTTGGGTTTTTTTGTTTGTTTTTTTTTTTACTGAGTTTTCTGATAAAAGATGTAACTATGCAGTCCTGAAATATCGAGTCCCTATTTTTATAGTGCCATGTCATTGGTCTCTTAAACACCTCTATTGTAGCAATTGTATTCTTTTGTTTCACTACTTTCAAAAGCCATTGATCTATAAAGACAAAAGGAATTCCAGATTCACATAGCCCTTTGTCTAAGAATTCACTCTCCTCCTCCTCTCTCAGTTGGGTATTCTGCGGTATTGTATGGCTAACTCAGCAAAACTAGGTGGAGGTCAGCTGTTACTGTCTTTCTTCAGTCTGGCCCACAGGCACTGTGCGAGGCAGAAACATATGATGTATGTAGCATGAAAAGAACTCTCTGATCCAGCCCTGAAGTAGGTAGTCCCTATCTTTTTATGGGTTTTTAATTTATCGTTTCTGTAGGATTGGTGATGTGGACAGGAAAATTAGACACAGAAGTCTTTACTGAATCTTCTATTTCTAGGTTGAGATTGAAGATGAGATAAAGAATCTCAGACAGCTTCATGATTTGGTATACTCTCAAGCCTGTAGCTGGTTTCAGAATTTACGAGTCAGATTTCGAAGCCAAATTCTTCAGCACTTTGGATCAATGCCTGGGAGGGAAGAAAACCTTCAGGTATGATGGATTTGATATTATTTCCAAAAGTTTCTCTCTTTTTTTGTAAACTCAAATTAGTAGTCTTTGACGTTTTTCTTTTGGGTTTCCTTTTTGCAGCATTTTCGTTGAGCCTCTGTCTTTAAAATCATGACCTTTTTCTCTAGAGCGGTGGTGTCCACTGCATTTTATATAGGGGATGGAAAAGCTGATAGGAGTGCATGCCAGAGAAGGAATAAGTCCTTAACTGAGGATTTTCTGCAAGGAGGGATACGATATTAAAAATGAGACATGGTGCCATTTAGGAAATTATGACTATGAGACAGCTGTGCCTTTGGGTCAGTCACCTGTTACTATGATTTTTTGACAGTTGACAACTGTATCATTTCTCTGTTTTTAAAAATCCTTTCTCACTGCTCCTTTTATCCCTTTGTCCTTCTATTTTAGTTAATTTTTGTCTCTCCATGTTTAAAACTTCACACTTCATGAAACTATTGTTCTTAATAGTCTTGCTCAGGTACTTAGGGTTTACACTTAAGCTAAATGTAAGTAATGGGTAGCAGGCACTCTCAGTGAAAGCAGGTACTGCAGGGCCTATAAAGGAACGGTCCCATTCCTGGAAAATATGATTTTACTCATCTAAGTATTAGTACTTAGTTTTGGGTATTAGCATTTGGAATTGAATAAAAAGTTTGTGGTCAGAAGGTAATGGTTATAAATAAATATATGAGGATTGAGAGATAATAGACCCCACTGTGAGGGATACTGCCTCTCATTCCAGTTTTCAAAGGTTGGCCTAAATCTCTCTGAACCCCCTTTGAATCTTTCACCTGAACTTGAAATTTCAACATCAGACCATCTCCAAATTGAGTACTCACTTTGTGTCTTTCATATTATCACTTGCCATGTTTGTTTTATCCTGGCTACCTTAATCTGATTGAACTTGGTAGAAATGGCCATTATTATGCACACAATTGAATAAGTAAATTGTAGATATTAACAAGCCACCTTATAGAAAAGTTTGACGTGCCTTCCCCATCTCCTTTATCACCACCCTTCTATAGTCCTCTACCACTTTATCACCACCTGTTCTGTAGTCCTCTGCCACTGCTTCCTGTGGCAGTAATGCTGTTTTGAGAACAAACAGTACATAAATTTAGAAATCCAGATTGATTCTAGAAGGATCCTATTGTGATCACCACTGATGTGATTGCTCCTTTAGTCCTTCTAAAATTTCATGTTACAGATTCAGTAGCAACTCAATGTGTAGTAAAAGTTGCTTACTTTTTTTATGTTATTATAAACTCCTACTTTTTTCAATAACCTGTAGTCAGTCCTTATACCATGAGAGAGTTTTTTTGCTAGAGATAGATTTTTCAAGTGAAACTAGAAGCCAAGTCCCTTTTCTTATAGCTCTCCTGAGATTCCACAATTCTTTGAAGAAAATTTTTAGTATCAGTTAAATTTTCCTAATGTTTTCAAATATATTTTTTAAGAAAGCAATTCTTAACTAGGGATGATCTTGCCCCCATGAGATGCTGGCTGTGTTGATTGTTAGACCTGAGTAGGCATAATTGATATTTAGTAGCTAGAGGTCATTGATGCTGCTAAGCCTGTTTTAATCGCAGGACCGTCCCCATAACAAATAATGCTGGCATCCCAAGTGTTAGCTTCAGATTGAGAAACCCTGCTTTAAGTGGTTCTATGCAGTAGAAAGAGCGTTGGCTGTAGGGCCAAGTCTGGATTTGAATCTTTTTCTGCCACACATGACTGAGAGTCCTGGAAAGTTTGTGTTACATTTCTGGGTTTCATTTTCCCCACTTTATAATAGGGCATCATAATAGCTTTCTTGACATTGTTAAAAAAGAATTTGAGATAGGCCTGACACATTAAAGAGTAGCTTGTTGGTGGGTTTTTTACTTTGTTACAAATAAATACTCGTTTTATTAATACTTTAAGAAACTGGGTTTTTTTTGTCTTTTTGTTTTTTTATTTTAGGCAACCCCTAATGGACCCGCATGGTGTTGGTGGCTTCTGGCAGTTCTTCCTGTAGATCCCCGGTATCAGCTATCAGTTTTGTCAATGAAGTCTTTGAAGGAACGGTTGACAAAGATACAGCATATACTGACCTATTTTTCTAGAGACCAATCTAAGTAACTAATTGCTTGGATCTTCCTCTAAAGTTACCCAAATCTGGCTGTGTTGACAGCCAGGTTGTCCGCTGCCTTTGCACATCCAGTGCTGGTTTGAGAAATGTAACAAAACTTTTTTTTTTTCCTTCAACCTCCTGAATCATGTGGTTCTGCAAATGAATACCTTCAACTAGGATTTAGACCACTAAGAACTTGCACAGAAAAACACGCACTGAATGTGTGTTAAACCTCTACATTGTGATGAAGTTGCACTATGTACCATATTCTAAAATGAAATGAGAACTCTGTGTATGTGTGCAGGATGTGTGTGTGTGTGCGTGTGAGCGTGTGTGTGTGCATGTGTGTGTGTGCATTTTCTCTGGCTTTAAAATTTTAAAAGAAAAAAAAAAGCCATAGAGAGCAGAACTTGCCGAGGGTCATTTATTGCCCAAGTTTACAACAGTAGCGATACAAGTTTTTGCAAATTGAATTTGCCTCAGATTTATCTGTCCTAATGCTTATATTTGCACAAGTATGTAAACTATGGTATTAAGTATCAGTCTTTGTTGGGCACACTGCTCTTGCTGAACTGTCTTGACCATTGACTATGACACAGTTTCCTATTTATGTAAATACTTGCGTCCTAGTGGCCAACAGGCATTGGATGCAGAATCTAGAGCCAGTTTTCAGGAACAATTGCAAACCTGACATGGTACTGTGCATCTATTCATAAAACACTTAAAACTGTGAAAATATGGTTTACATTTAATTGTACATAAAGGTAAATGGAAAACTCAATTCAGTACCAGTTAGTTTGTACATTTTAGGGGGCTTTACACATTAACTGCCCATCTATGTAATTTAGAGTTTAACATGATGTATTCATTTAAAAAAATTACATAGTAGAAGCCCATTAAGGATATGGAGGAAGAGAAGAAGCTTAATGTAGAACTAAGCTGTTAAAGTATGTTTTATTTTTAAATTCTGGTCTTGGTGCAAATGTTAGTTATGCCTTATTCATATCACAATTAGATGGCCATGCTGTGACATGGTTTATATTCATGCTGCCCTAGATACTTTTGTAATTATTTGTTGCAAATTTGTGACTGTCCCTATTAACTTTCTTTTATGTAAGTAATTTGTAAAGGTTTCTTAAAATTTTTGCTTTTGCTTATTTAATTTTGAATAAAAGCTAAATTCATAACTTTTTTTTTTTAATTTTAGGTCCATGTTAAAAGCAGATCAATGAAGCAGTCATACTGCACAGAGTAAAGAAAAGATGAACTCTGCTTACTCACTGTTTTGTGACACAAGACATAAGCTTTAGTTTTTAAAATACTTTTTTGGGTCATTTTTGTGCTAAACACTGCATTTTTAAGGAGGTGCTAGGTCTTCAAACTATTCTTTAAAGTGTTTTTTTTTTTTCAGCCTTTTAAAAATCCATGTCCCTATAGGATAAAGATAAAATTCTTCACTGCTACCCCCATTTGAGACTCCTCTTGGTTCAACAGACTTGACCATTTCAACCCCTTTCCCAGCTAGAATTTTCAATATAAATGAATTAATATTGAACATTTTATAAAAATGTATTAAAAAATAATTGCCTTGAAGACCACCCTTTGCCCCTACAAATAAAGCTAATTGAAAATCTATCTGTTAAATAGTTTTGCAAAAAGCATCATTTCAAAAATGGGCCATTCTTCAAAAGCCCCTAATAAAAAGTTTTTAAGTGCTTGTTAAGTAGTATATGGGTAGTATAAATGAAGACTTTACCTATGTAGTTCTCAAAATAGATATATATATCTATATATCAGATGGCAATTGGCATTAGCTGGTGCTGAATCCACATCTGTAATGTATGTGCCTACACACTGAGCATTACATGGTCCCTCTGCATAGACATGCATATAGTAATGAAAATTCATGGGCTCTATCATTTGACCCTAATGTGATATGTGGTCTCTGTAATTATCGTTTATTGGTTTTTTAAAAGCTCTGGACACATTTTTCCTATTGTACCTTCTTTATAGTTTATCAAAAAAAAAAAAAATGACAGATTTTTCTTCTTACTACTTTAAGCAACCAGGTACTATCATGAGTTCCAACACTTCAGATCAAAGTAACCATCATTCTTCTTTTATCCTACACCTGTCTCCATGGGGTCAGTTATTTTGTTAAGATCCAAATCCAATATTGTCTCTTAGCTAGAACTCTGAACTCTATAGCACTTGTACTTTCTTTATGGCACTTACAGATGATAGCTAAATTAAACACATAAAACTCCTGATTTAAATTCCAAGACACAAGCTGAACACTTAACAGAATTGAAATAAATGAGAGATTAGCTAAAGCTGGTCAAACTGAGCAAATTCTTTGCCTTAATGGCAATAAAGAAAATGAAATCTAATAGTATTGAGAAACCAGAAGTGTTGAGTGACCAGTGCTTTTGAGGATGGAAATGGGCCCCAATATAAATCAGAAGAAAATATGACTTTATAGAAATGACCAGAGGAAAGACCCAAACTAGGAAAGGGTCTTGGAAAAAATCCTGGAGAATTCCTTGGGGAGGTTACACTCAACATTCTGGACCATGCGGCCTCTCCTCAACGTGGGTTGGGTATCAGGCCACACCAGCAGTTGTTCAACTCAGGCCAAAACAATGAATGTGGGCACTGGCCCAGACAAGACCCACAGACCCATAAAGACAGGTCCCTGTTAGATGGTGAGCCCACATGCACAAAGAATCTCTAGCCCACCCCATGTGGCAGTGTGTCCTGGCATTCCCCCAAAATCAACAAAGGTAGGCAGCCTGTGACTGAACTAGCAACCCCAAAAGAATGAACAGGGATCCCAAATGACAAAGATGAATAGGCAAATCATAGAAACAGAAGGGAAACACTAAAATTTAATCAGATTTAAGAATGTGCAATTCTAAAAGTTGGGAATACCCCCAATTTTTTTTTTTTCATCTAGTCCCTGGTACCATAGACGCAGTCAATAAAAGTTTGTTGGCTCAATGAATAAATCATAAAAGTAAATATATGAGTCAAAGAAATGAATGCAAATGAGTAAGTTGTGGGGTGTGGGGTTGAGTTGGTCTCTCCAGAGCACAATTCAGACATCATTAAAGTATGAGGAGAAATCTCTGAGACATGGAAGAAGTCAAAGTTTTAACATCTATGTAATAGCTATTTCTTTAGGAGAGGAATTAAAGAAGAATTAAATACATATACAAGTAATTTCCCTGGAGCTCAAGGCTAATAAAATATTCTACTTGCTTTCTTAGGTACTATATTCATCCATTTAATGAAGAGAATAAGTTAAACTTACACAGGTGAACTAAGGACAGACAAAACAGCTATAACTCATATTGCCTGGCATCGATGTACAGCAAATGACTGAGTCAATGACATGGACTTGATAGGAATTTTCTTCCTATGACTTGTTTAATTGCCAATATTTTAAAAATGCTAAACATTTTTTTGTAGATAAGACATGGCCCAGCTTAAATGAGCTTGCTTACAGAACTTTTGGCTGTCACCAACATTAAATGTGTCCTAAGTTTTGTCACAACTTAGGATATGGAAAAGAAAATAATTTCAAAATGTGGAAAGTACCACATTCAAGACTCAGAAAAATCCTTTGGAATCCTACTCTCAAGAGTAGTTGCTCACCTTGATGAGGAAACTGGAACACTTAAGTGGTTAAATAATTTGTCAAAGGATTTACACAGCTAATACCTGGTGAAGCAGACTTTGAACGTAAGCAATCTGGCTTTAATGTGCTGCCACATCCAGTTATAAAACATCTAAGTACATTGATGTGTGAAGGGTCTAGAAATGATTGACTTGACTCCCTGATGTAGCAGGCTTTACACATGGGGGTGCCGCTTACAGCTATGATGAAACTTGTTTTTAAGTTCCTCATTAAGATGGTGAGACAGTCAAACCAGAATCAGCCCTATATTCTTGGGAGCAGTGTGAACTAGGAACAAACTGTAGAAAATAATTTTGCTACACGTGTGTCAAGAATCTTCAGAAGGTTCATACCCTTTGACCAATCTCATGTTGGAAGAATTACCTTAAGAGTATTATGTTTCTAGAACAGCAAAAACTTGAAAACAACCAGGGTCTGCTAATGGTAACAAATGGAAGAAACTTAAATGTGTATTGTGCAGTCATTAAAAATGATGAGGGAGACTAATGTGTGAAAAAGCATAACTCAAATTAACCATTTGTATAAAAGACTAGAAGATACCATATAAAAGGAAACCAGTAAAATTAACAGGTCAAGTAAAAGCCCTGCACAGCTTGGGGTTTGGGGATGTTGACCTCTGCACAATTTAACTCCCTCCAAATTAAGCATGTACTAGCCTACTGTTGACAGGGAAACTTACTGATAGAATAACAATTAACACAGATTTTGGTTTAATTAACATATATTTCATATAAATTCAATAGAATGCAGATTAAATTGAATCAATGAAAGTTGAACCTGCAGAGAGGACTGATTCTAAGGCATTGCAGCTTCCCAGCATTTGGATGTCCTGGAGCAGGGATGGGGGCGATGTTAAAGGATCAGCTGGACTTTGCAAACTCTGAAGCCACTCACACATGTAAACCCCTGGGGTTCATCATGAGGCTCAGCCAGTATCTATGAAGAGACTGCATGGACTGGGCAGCTTTCAACCCTAGCTGCACATTAGTATCACCTGAGGAACTTCTTCAAAAATGACATGCATCAGCTCCACAGCCCAGTTTGATGGTTTAAATGTGAATTTGGGGTGAAAACCACTGAATCACTGGACCTGGGTTTCCCTTTCAGTAAACATGGACAGTGCACTTGGACCAGATACATCAATTTCCAGTTTAAATATCAGTTATATGGACATAAAATCTACATCTTGTTCCCTTATTTCATTGATGTTTAATGAATACCTACTTGTTCTCATTTTCTATGTCCACCAAAACAAATGACGACAAAAGAACTTGGTGGCTTAAGACCACAGTAATGTTTTCACTTCTAGTACTGGAGGTTAGATGAGCAAAATCCGTCTCCAGGCTAAAATGAGATACCAGCTGGGGCCATTCTTTCCAGAAACTTTAGGGGAAAATCCATTCCTTGCTTCATTCACCTTCTGCTGGTTGCTGACACCCCTTGGTGCGCGGGGACATCACTCCAGTCTCTACCCGTCTTCACATCAGCTGCATCTATGCACCAGTCAGCTACAGAAATGCAGGTACTTTGGGCCTGGTAGTTTCAGCACTCAAAATGAACAGAAGGTGAACTCCTCCTCAAATTACCTTTAGATTTAAATCCATAAAAAATCACTACTAACACCCAATTGTCAGAGTGAATCCTTAGAGCTAGTAGCTTGGCAACAGAGTAAACAACTAGTTCCCACTAGGTTTGTCTTGGGGAAAACATCATAGCAGAGACCCCGGCCTCCTTGCCTGTGCCTTCATTTAATCTTTTGTCCATTTATTGAAGGAATTTTTTTAACTAAACCAGCAAGCTCTCCATTTTTGGCTCTGCATTCATGACATAAATGTAAATTTATACTTATTTATGCGTTCATTTTCTTTATTCATTTTTTCCTAGACACCCGAGAAGCAATAATGAAATGAACTTTATAGATTTCTAGGATGGCTAAATAAAAGAAAAATGGTAATATCAAATTTTAGTGAAAACGTAGAGGAATTTAAACAATCATATATTGATGGAAATATAAAAAATACATCCAGTTAGGAAAACTGCTCATCAAATTTGGACTTTGAACTACCTTATTACAATAAAGACAAATGCAAATACAGGAATGAAAACTCTTTGAATGTTTAGTGTAACTTTTCTTTCTGTAATATGCTACCATATTCACCACCTATTGTGTACAATTTTTTTTTTAATCGATGATAGCAAAGTGGAAGACAAGATAGAAAGGCAGGATGTATACCCCATGGTTATTATGGGATATCTACAACCAGTGTGTTATGAGAATTAACTCCAATGGTGTTTGTGGGGCTCCCAGCACAGGGCGTCCTAACAGACTTGTGAACACATAGTAGATGCTCAGGAAACACTGCTGCAATGAACATGTATATGTGGTTTTACAAATAGAAAACTTCAGACATTGCTGTCCTTACTAGTCTTCTGTAAACTTTAAAGAGCCAGAAAAGCAAGTGACTTCAGGACTGTGATGGTGGCCTTTACTGGGAACCAACAGTAGTTGTACGAAGATAAGATGGTGGGTGTGAGGGGCTCAGTGTGCTGTGCCTGCTTCCTCTACTACACTGCTACTAAAATGGATTTGGGGTGCAACATCAGCATGAACAGGGAACATGTTAAAAAATGCCAATTCATGGGCCTCAGTCCTCTTTTGCAGAAGCACAATTTCTTCAGTGGGGCCTGAAACATCAAAAGATTTGTGTGCACATTACATCCCAACACATCAGCTTCCTAAGTAATCTCTTCCAATACAATAAAGTCCCACAGGGTGAGTTTTAAGAACTACCTACACCTGAGCCCTCCCTCACAGACTGTCCACTGGTCTGGGCAGAAGCACAAACACTTTAAGCTCTTCAGGTGATTCTAACAAGCCAGGGATGAGCAGAGGACTCTGGGATTATTTGTGTGAGTGGAGTACAAGTTTGGGTTGAAGGGGAACAGGGTCTGCTCTCTCTATGAGTTAGTAGAGGCAGGTCAGTGCAGCCCACTTCCCCCATCTGTAGAAGAATTTGTGACCCTCTGTGAGAGCAGAGAGCACCAGAAAAAAGGGAAGGAGAAATAGACAGTTTGAATTCCCTGCAGGAACTTGCCTGTGAATCTCTCCTAGACAAAGGACAGGGTAAGGTGGACTTTTGTGCAGCTCAAAGTCCTTCTGTCTGTGGGTGGGGTTGGGAGCAGGTGAAGTGGCTGTGCTGACACCTTTGAAGGGATATCCCTCAAGATGCAGAGGATTCCTTGAGATAGTATTTCCTGAGAAAGAAATGAGAGCAGGAGGAGGAAGAGGAGGATATGACTTGTTCTCAGGTAAATGTCCAGTCCAGGGTAAGGGTCTGTGTCAGCTCTTGCTCCTGAAATAGAGCTACAACTTGCAAACTTGACCTCTACTCCTGATGTTCCTAGTATGGGTCAACTATTTCCTTTCCTCCCTTTGTTTTTTAACCTGAAAGGGCGGGTTTATTATTAAAAAAGGGAGAAGAATAAAGGACACTGCATAGATGCAAGTGGACAGAAAGAGCTGCCCCAAAAGGGACAGGTTTGCTAAAAGAGGTCTGCATGGTCACAGGTGAGCGGCCTTGAGGAGAGCGGCCTTTGCTGAGGAAGGTCAGCGAAGAGAAGCCCCGGCCTGGTGCAAGTCACAGGCAGGCACATAGGCCGCTGCCCTGTGGAGGGAGAGAGTTGATGAAAAGGAGCACCTGCATAGTCACAGGTAGGCAGAAGAACTGCTGCCTCCCTTTTCTTCTTGTGATTACCAAGGTCTCTCTCTGTTTCCCATGTATCCCACAGCTAATTCTCCATTTTCTGATTGCAGAATTTCTACATGGCGTAAAAAAGTCTCACCATGAATTAATTACCTTCAACTATTGAAAAGATTCCCTTTGTGACAGAGCAACATGAGGTGTTGATATCCAAGATCCCTACCAGTGTTGGGTAAATGTTCAGGTAAGAGTGAAGAAGGGGGAAATGGAGATTCTGGGTTTCTTATAGATGCAACATCAGTTCTGTGCAACAGAATAAAGAAAACACACATTAAGCAGGATGGCATTAATGGGCCAGAAAAACTCAATGTTCTAAAAAAGAAGAGCAATTAGAACGGAGCCGCCTGCTATATTAACAAGAAAGGCTTACTATTCAAGTGTGCTATTAGAGATTACAGATGGAGATTCCAGACATGGAGAAAATATATGCTGCATTGAAATTTGCATAAAACTGGATTTGAATGAATTACTGGGCAATATGGAGGAGCAGGTGCTGTTTTTAGATTGAGATTGTTGCACTTTCCAGCCTAGATCAGGTGATGCAATGGAGAGGTAGGTGTTGGATGAAGTAAGTTTTGTGGACAAACTTTAAATGTCACATGGTAGAGTAGATGTTGGGTATAAAGAGACTTCTGACACTGTCAAAGGCACAATCAGCACATTCTGTGTGTGGTTACACACAAGCCTCATCCCAGGAATATAACTCATATAGCTCTGTAGATGGTGACCTTCAAGGAAGTAGACAGTGAACTGAGGGAGCTCCCTCACTTCCCTTCAGCACGGTGATGAATCTAGTCATATAGTCTTGGCCTGTGAAAGCTCTGAGAAGGTTGGGGGAGCAGTTGGCCCGTCAGAGGCAGTGAGCATTTCTGTTTGAAACAATCTATCCCGTTTTCAGGATAGAAGTCCACCAGCTCTTTTACAGCCCCTGCTGTCCTTTCGCCTGTCCCATCACAAGCAGAAAGAAATTTTTCCCTGTTGTGGAAACTGATATAATGAAGCAGAGAAGCAGGTTATGCTCTATTCACATAGCTGCAATTGAAATATAATAATGAGACTCTCAGCAGCTGTCAGCTTATATTTAGCTATTCCCAGAAGGACTGATACCTACTTACCGAAAAAATGTCATTTTTGTCCTGTGTACCAAGTACCCAGGCAGAAGCACATGGCTGACAAAAGTGGCTCTGAAGCTCTATGAGGACCCCTGTATTTTTCATTGCTTCTCTCTTACAGTGTCTAAGGAAGGTAGCAAACCCATGTCTTTTCCCTCATGGCCTTAAGATGGCTGCCGCTCTGCCAGGCATCAAACCATGTGCCATGCAGCAAGAAGGCAGGGTGCAGCTGATAGGATAGACGTTTCTTTTCAGTTTCGGCAAGGCCACCTTCTCAAGCACTTCTCTCTATCTCTCACTGACTAGAAGTCTGGTATATGGTAACACAAAGTGAAAACATTTGTGTCACATAGAGGGACACTTCAGAAGACATTGATAATGACTGCCAGTACCTAAACTGTTCCACCAAATCTGATCCAAGGTCATCCCCTGTGCTCCGAAGGCTGTTGTGAAATAACCCTCAATTTGGTGCTGGTATTCACAATTCATACAAATTTCATACCATATGCAAATAGAGTTCTTTGTCTTTCAAGGTGAGAATAAAGTGCTGTTTACACATACAATTATGTCACTTATGAATTTATGGAAAAAATGGTTAAGCACAATACGATACTGAGAATGGCATATTCGACTCTATTATCAAATATAGCATCTGTTAATTTTCTGCCATGTGTTTCATAACTTACTTGATAAAATATTTAAATAAATTCCACTTTGTTTTAAATTTAAATATGCTGATGCAAAAATGTGAGGGGAAGTGGTATATTTGGGGAGTGATCCCAGGAAGCACAAGGAGGCTAGTGAGAGATGTGAGACAAAGAGAGAAAGCCAAGAAAGACTACATTTAGAGTCAGGGCTATTTTTATTCTATCTATCTATCTATCTATCTATCTATCTATCTATCTATCTATCTATCTATCTATCTATCTACCTAATGTGTTTTTTAATCACAATACTGATATCAACTGACGCATACAGGGTTTCCAAGAGCGACTTTTCTGATGATAATTCAGGAATGGACTGTGACTTAGTTATTGTAGAGGTGATCAAATTTTGCATAACATCAAAATCACTTGGAGAGATGGTAAAATCAGGGATTGCTAGACCCTTCCCCGGTGCTATAAATTAGTGGTTCTACTTCAGCCCAACAAGTTTTCTTCCTTACAAATTTTCAGATACCAAGGGTGGCTGCCAAGGTACCCAAGGGCTAAGGGCACATTTATAATTGCCACCTGCGAGGGTATCAGCAGAGTGGGTGCTGAGGATGTGCTGATGAGTATATCAGTGAGCAGCTGTCAGTGAACTCCGGTTCTGGTTACTGGGCTGTCAAAGTGGCTTCATCTGTGGACTGAGCTGCAGAGTAATCCATTTGGTCATACATGTGCGGCCTGGGCTAGAACTTAAATTTAAGTCTCAGACCATGGAGTCCTGGTCTCTGTGAACCTCTGAGTGTTATGGAGTGAAAGAACCCCAAAATAGGTCTTCTTGGGGGGGGAGGTTTGACCTGAGTCCCTCTTGTTGATGTGGCGTAGCCAGGACCAAAACTTGGCCAACATTTAGAGGAGGCAGTAACCTCATTTTAACTAAATCATCCTTGTTAGGAAAATGAAAATACTTGTAGTCCCAATGCACAGAATTGTGACATTAGACATGTTCAACAAATAAAGCATTAGAGAGAAACATTGTAAACATGATATAGAGAACACAGCAGACTTAAAGGAAAACGTTGGATTTTATTTTTCATGGAAAAGGTAGCCCACAACTCATGATGCCATGTTTAACCCTCTGATGTGAATATTGAATCCTGGAAAAAAACAGAATGGCCTCTGTGGATTTGAAAATTGGTCCAGGTTTTCAGTGAAATCCAGCAGTTTCTCATTCTTATCTCATTATCTTGTCATTTAGTTAAGCGGAACCAGCCTAAGATGCTCAGGTCTTATTCTCAGTTACGGGAATATAGCCAATATTGGTTATTCTTTCTAATGGAAACCAAGAGCTCATGACAGCTTTTACTTGAAATATTTTCTCCATCATTTTGGATGCATCTTCATTTCCTATGCTCACAGAGTGGCCAGAGCTGTGTCCTTTGGCAACACTGGTCTCTTAAATGTCTCCCAAGCTATCACCATCAGCTCCCTGGTTAGGTGGGGCTGCTGCTGGGCTCAGTGATTGGGATGGACGCCCTGAACATGCAAGCCCAAGGTTGTATTCAACTAAAGGGCAGGTCTGCAGGCTGCTGTCTACTGCTGCAGGCTTCCCCAGGCTGGGCTCAAGGTCAATGCTCTGGCTTTGCTCCCTGCCCTGAGGGGCTGCAGGATGTACTCTGTGGCCACCCAGGTTTCCAAAGGGCATGGGGCTGGAGGTATGCGTGGCAGTCAGGCAGGGCTTCCAATACCCTTCCCTGTCCTTTTGGGGGCATAGAATGGTCACCTTACCTAGAGGCCTGTAGGGTAGGTAAAAGGTATCAGGCTTTTCTGCCCTCCCGCCATTTGGATGGATGACGGAACCCTGCGGTCCTGAGCGCATGCTTGATGGCGGGCACCTGGAGTAGGGTGTGGGCATGCGTAGGTGGGTACACCTGAGCTAAGAGACTGATTTATAAGGGTGGTGCAGCAGAGTGCGGTGTGGTGGTAGTGCGGTGTTGAGGGTGGAGGAGTGGAGTGTACGGAGGAGTACAGCGACTACAAACAACGGCGAAGAGCATGTGGCTGCTAGAACCGTTCATAAACCTGCCCGGAATGGGTTGG